AGAAATGCCTGAGCTGTGGAAGTGCTGATCACGCCGCCAACTCTTCTCAGTGTCCCACGTGGAAAAAAGAAAAAGGAATTTGTTCTGAAAAGGCAGACAGGTGTGTCGTACCCCGAAGCAAGGCGCACCGTTGAATCCAAAATGTCGTCGCAGCCCAGCAAAACATATGCACAAGTAGCAAAAGCCACGATGACCACATTTGCAACACAGACCGACTCTATCACCCATCTGCCTCCCCTGAAGCTTCTCAACCCTCGCCCCTCGGTTTCAGCTGAGTCAACTACACAGACCCAGACGAAAAATGCCGTTTAGTCGCCCCTGGCTGGACGCTCGGATGTTCAGGCGCCCGTGCACCCCCGTCCCCAGGTTGGCCGGCGTTCCAGCCCGCCGGCTGTGCGTGATTCACATGCGGGTCAGACCGTCCGGCGTTCTAGCCCACCGGCTATGAACAGTCGGCGGCCCGGACCCTCTGGCCACCACACGAACATTACTTCCCCTCCCCCCCCCCCCCCCCACCACCACCACAACACCTGTCGAAACCCGCCCGAACGATGTCCGCCGGTCCCGTCCATCGGAAAGGGTGGCGATGGGACGGCCTAGGTCTGTTTTGTTCGGGTGATTCCCATCAACCGGTGAGAATGGATCCTTTCATCACTAAATGTCTTTCATCTTACAGTGGAGTTGTCGCGGTCTCATTTCAAAATGTTCGGAAATGAAAGCACATTTTGCCGTATTACCTCCAATCATCATTGCCGTACAGGAGACATGGTTTCGTCCCACCGACACATATAACCTTAAAATGCCAAATTACTCTTTATATCGCAGTGACACCACGGACGATGAGCGTCGCCAAGGTGGGGTGGCGCTGTACTTCAGTCAAGAATTAACACACACGCCACTCACTCTTAACACACCTTTTCAGGCTGTTGCATGTTCAGTTCGACTGCATGGCCGTACCATCGATATATGCCCAATAAACATTACACCAAATTATAATAATACGGAGCTCTTACGGCAACTTGACCAACTCGTTGCTCAATTTCAAAACCCTTTTCTCATCCTCGGCGATCTCAACGCTCACAGTCCAGCTTGGAGTAGCGGCACCCAAGCCGTTGATCGCCGAGGACATTTGGTTGAAGATTTTATTGATGCACACAACTTAGTCCGGCTAAACAAAGGCAATAATACTCATCACCACTTACCCACTGGTACGGAAACAGCCATCGACCTGTCGCTGTGCTCTCCCTCAATAGCGGCACACTTTGGACTGTTGAGGGAGATATACACGACAACAACCATTTTCCAATTAAACTTTACACCACTTTTGACGCAACCGCTGACGAAGTTTTGCAATCCATACCCCGCTGGAATTTACGAAAAGCAGACTGGGCCAAATTTCAAGAACTGTGTTATGTGAACCGAGACTGTTATGAATCACCAGAGCAGGGTGTTGGCCTTATTACACATATTATTCATGCTGCAGCAACCGTGACATTTCCACTGACTAAAACCCCACCACGCCGCATCTCAGTACCATGGTGGACGACTGAAGTTAAGAACGCTATTGCGCGTCGGAAACGTGCTTTCCGCTGCTTTCGTCGCCACCATGATGTACCTCATCTTCTTGCCCGAAATTATGAGCGTGCTCGAACCAGACGAATTATAAGGAAAGCCAAACGTCATTCTTGGCAAGCATACATCCAGCAGTTCACTGCTGCTACTCCTCTAAGCCAGCTATGGGGACTGGTTCGAGCGCTTTCCGGAAAACGCACCTCCATTTCATTGCCCACTTTACGCATTAATAACCAAATCATTTCGGCAACACTTCTTATCACCAATGCTCTTGCTGAGTCTTTCTCAGTGTAGCTCATCCGGAAATTACCAACCAGGATTTGTGGAAACTGCGCAAGCCCGTTTTCGTTTACATACTAATTGTTTTGCTTCCGATAACACCAAAGACTATAATTTACCATTTTCATTTCTGGAACTACAAAAGGCTCTAAAATCCGCCGGCAACACCTCAGTAGGTCATGATCAGTTACACTATTCTTTTTTTGTAATCTTTCAGAAGATATGCTTCGTTTTATATTGGCAGTTTTTAATGATTTGTGGTTAACCCATGTCTTTCCTGACGCCTGGGAAAACACCACCATTATTCCACTCGCAAAGCCAGGAAAAGACACCAAAGATCCATCAAATTATCGTCCCATTGCACTTACCAGCTGTCTAGGAAAACTTTTTGAGCGGATGGTGGTGAAGCGAATCTCTTGGATTGTAGAACGAGACTGCCTGCTTACAAAAAATCAATGTGGTTTCCGACACAATCGGAGCACAATAGACCATGTCATCAGACTTGAAACTGACATCAGACGTTCCTTTAAACATCGACACCACACAACTGCTGTATTCCTGGATATTAGCCGAGCCTACGACATGGTCTTTAAACCTGTACTAATTTTCAAGCTCCATGAGTCAGGTTTTAAAGGCCATTTGGCACATTATCTTATCGGGTTTCTTTCCGGCATCAGACCATTTCGTGTGAGATGCAGTTCCGCCGTTTCCGACACTCACGATCTAGAAAACGGCCTCCCACAAGGGAGCTGTATCTCACCAATTCTCTTAAATTTTATGATAAACGATTTATTTGGCTCATTACCATCGGGCATTTCTTCTTCACTTTTTGCGGATGATAGCGTGATCTGGTGTTCAGACGCTGAATATGACCATTCGCTGCCACGGCTCCAAGCCGCCCTAAGCAAGGTGCAGCAGTGGTCAGAGCGATACGGGTTCCGTTTCTCCGCTCCCAAATCTGCAGTTATGATTTTCAGCAAAAATATGCGTGGTACTCCCAATTTTCGGCTTCGACTAGATGGACAATACATCCCTTTCGTTTCGTCTTTCAAATTTCTTGGCATCGTACTTGACCCCAGATTATCGATGCGACAGCACGTGGAGCATGTTCGCTCCAAATGCCTAAAACGACTAAATTTCTTTAGATGCATTTCTGGGTTAAGATGCGGTGCCGACAGCCAATCGTTATTACGTCTATATAAATCCTTAGTTCTTCCCATCATTGAATATGGCTCCGTGGTATATGCAGGAGGCAGCCAACACACTCTCAAACCACTATCCACCATACAAAATATGCTTTTGCGAGTTGCCCAAGGAGCTCTGCGTAATTCCCCGATTTCAGCGCTTGAAGTGGACGCTCACGTTATGCCTCCTGCCCTCTGACGAATGGAACACACACTGAGATACATAACAAAAGTGCGACAAAACCCCAGTCACCCAGCATTTAAATCCATACATATCTTACCTCACATTCACCATAACTACGTAGGACCGGCAGAACGTCGCTCAGGACTTACAATAGCATTTCGAACCACTATCTGCTGTACCACTCTTCACTTTACTTTACCGCCTTCTTTCGTGCCACCTGCTTTAATAGTACCACCATGGTGGTTAACCCCCTCGGAAAGTTTTGTTTCTTTTTGATGATCTCAAACGCATTTTCACGAGATATGTTCAACAAACATTTAATCGTCTAATTTTCAACAATCAAAATAGCAGCTTTATTTACACCGATTGCTCCAAGGCCAATAACCACACCGGATGTGCAGTTATTTGCACTGAGCATTACCATAAAAATTGTCGGTTACAGGATGGCCCCTTAGTATATTTGGCTGAATTATTTGCTCTTTTCCTTGCATTGCAACGCATTCAACAACACACCCATACAACGAAGACCATAGTGATTTGTTCGGATTCAAAGACAGCTGTACAATCTCTTATTGACCCAGACTTCACACACCACCTCCTTGTTAAAATCGTCAATCTCTATCATATATTACACACACAGGATATGAATATCAAATTTCTATGGATTCCAGGACATACAGGCATCATGGGCAGTGAACGGGCTGACCAACTAGCCAAGGAAGCTTTGACAGACCCACACATCATGGAGATCCCTGTTGATCATGCATCTAAAAAACATTCCATTCGCACAATGACAAAACATTTTTCGCAACAACGATGGACCGATACTACCAGAACACAACTTCATGATATCAAACCAGACATTACCCCTTGGCCATCAACGCATCGTAAAGACCGACTGGAGGAGAAGGTGCTAGCCCGTCTACGAATTGGACACATTACACTCACACATAGTTACATGTACTTAAGTCAACCTCGTCCTCACTGTCAGCCGTGCAATCATCCACTTTCGGTTAAACATATTGTTGTTGAGTGCACAAAATATCAACAGCACCGCAAAGATATGCAGGCCTTTTGTCGTAATCAAAATATCAAGTTTTCTTTAAAAAACGTCCTTAGCGATGACCATCCTGAACTGCTTAACATTGTCTTTCACTTTCTCAGACTTACCGGCTTGCTTCAAGCTTTGTAAATGTTAATATATAACCCTTTTCTTAACATACATAATTACACCAATTTGAAATAACAACATCCAGGCGTGAAATGGTCTGAACAGGCCGAAACGCCTCAAACAAATAAATAAACAAACCAATGCGTGGAAGTGGTCTACTACAGGGCCAAGCGGTCCCTCAGCCATGTCGCATTTGTGCGAGGACGGGACGACCTATGTTGTTAAACCCCCCAAAGTCTTGACGCCAGACCTTTCGTAAACTCGCAAATGGGCGACAGTATGCATGAGCTATTGCAATGCCTGGTTTTCTCTATTTACTTGAACAATGCTGCACATGTCGGAAAAATCAATGGAAATAAGCAATGCATGTTGGATATATATATATATATATATATATATATATGTATATATATATACATATATATTTGTATATAAACATGTATATGTATAAGCATATATATATATATATATATATATGGGCTATACAGGCCATGTGAATTTAGTGCTCACCTGTGGCTACTAAACGGGCGAGTGCCTATCAGCCATAGTTTTCTTGTCATAGCGTGCAATGTTTGTTAATCGGTTAGTAAACTCTTCCGACAGTTTCAAGGGTTGTGAATAGTCCAGTACGCGAGATCACCGCGTGGCCGTGTGTTCCGTCCGCCGCCGTCCAACGGCCACCCGACACGGTATGGGGGCGACATCTGCGAGCGATTCCGACAACCACGACGGCCTCGAGGGCTCGCAGCTCCTCCGCCAGGTGAGAGGTGCATGCTAAGTTTATCAGTAAGCCAACGCCAGCCTTTTAGGACCGATTCAGAACTGGCGCCAATCTGCAGTGGGCCTAGACCCGCGGCTCCCCGACCCTCCCCTCACACGGGTTCTGCAGGCACGCACCGTCACGGCAGCGTGACGTTGAAACCTTCCGGGACTGACCCCGCAATCATTGGCGGACATAATGATCATTCCATTCCGCACGTGACGGATACTGCTGATGGCGACAACGCCTGGCGTGGAATAATATGCCGGAGGCAGTTCAGGGACAGACGAGCAATGACACGCGTACATTGAATATATTTCGACAGCGGCAGCCTGTTGAAGCAGCGTTCACGTCCTGTTCCATCAGCTTAGTTCAAATAACCAGCGAATTTGTAATGCTAATGTCCACCAGCTTGCGACTTCTTTAAGCGTGCATTTTGTTCAAGATAGGTTTTTCGAATCAAGCAAGAAGTCCATTCGCTCCAACAAATGGGCATCGATTGCGTACGCTCATCAGCCATGTCCGTAGAAGGCCTATGTGAAACCAAACAGAACAGAGCCCTTTGAAAACGTTTTCGAACCAAAACTGGGAAGTGAGGTAGATCCAGGCGTGGGAAATGAAGCCATGTCCCTCTACGGTAGTAGTTAAAATCCAATGTTATCTGTGTGCGTGTCTAACTTTGGTGAAACTTAATCATTATAGCCATCACAATTGAAGCACAATTCATGACGTTTCAATTGTGCTAACCTGTATTCCTGACTTACAAGTACCTACCACGTGCCGGCAGGTTTTCGTGGGCATCACAGTTGCCATGGCGACGGCGTCGGCTGGGGCTCATTCGACCATTCCTTCCGTCCTGCTGCCAAAGCTCATGGTGAATAACTCAGCGATACCCATCACAATGCAACAAGGAACATGGTTTGGTACGTATGATAGATAAAAGGAATTACGCATGATCATCGTGCGCTGACGCGATGATCATGATGGTATGATGGTGCGTATGATAGATAAAGGAAAAGTTACTTCGCAAAATAACCACAGTAGTCGACGCACCCCAAAACCCCTCTTCTCCGATAAAGGAAAAGAGAAAAGGAAGTGTTCTATTGGAGCACAGAAATGTCCCTGTTCAAATCTGTGGACAGTGAGCATGTAAATGCTCTATTGCAACATGTCCCAATGGCACATTTATACATTTTTCTCTTCGTTTTTACATGCCTTTATCGAAGCGAACCTGAGAAGTCATATTCGTTTCGGCAAGGGCATGTCGCCGGCATGCTACAGGCACGTAGCATGTAGCGCATAGTTATACTCATATCCGTTTCGATAAATGTATGTAGCTCAAGGCCAACAGTCGTGCCTGGCTCACACAGTTTGGCCACAACGCACTATCCGGGTGTTTCAGGCACGACGGTGCTGCCACAGGGTACATGCAAGGATTCGAGGTCGGTAAAATGTCAGACACGATTAAGCTAGTGCAGATGACGTCAAGGAAATATTCCTTTTACTTGTGAAGGAAGATTCGTTGTTTGTCGGCACAACTTCTCCAGCGTGTCACGGCCAGATTTCTTGTTAGTCGGACGCCGGAACAAGTTATTTTAGTGGCAGATCCGTCATTATCGTCGCTGATGCGCCGCTGCGACACCAGCTTAACAAGCGCACGGACGGCCGCCGGGACACCACCCTCTCAGGGGGGGGGGGGGGGCGTTCAAACCCTAATCAGTAAAAAGTAAGAGATCCAGAGATGTCAGATGCACAGGATAGATAGCACTCTATGAGACTTCGTTTGTGTAACATAGTTGAATCTCAAATGGGGCATATTCAGATATTGCAAGGTACAAAAGGTCAAGCTAATTGGTGTCCGCAGTGCCCTCAGACCTCCTCACGCAAACAGCCTTAACTTCAATACCTCCTCCAAGCAATAGGTCACTTAGGATCATTTCAGGTCAGTGGCCTCACATGACCTTTAACACTCGCTGGGATGGTGGTTTGATTTGATCCTCCGAATGTTTTTGCGACATAGTTTTCGAACGGTGCGGTGTACCCACGCCAAACTTTGCATAACTGTAGGCGATCGGATAGCAATTCTTTTGGTTAGAAAACAAATTAGATGTACCTTGTAAGACATACGACTGACTGACTCTGTTAGGTCAAAGCAAGGTCAAACCCTGGCTGTCAGCGAGGGCAATTTCTAGCGAATCGCTCAATGTCATGCAACAACCATGCGTCAGACGAAGCAATACAGCTCTTTGATAGTTTCTCAGGCAGAAGAATCATTCATGTTAGCATTACGACAAATTACATTGATCTAAGGTCAGACATGAAGGCCAGACTGAAATTAAAACCAACCTATCTTATTTGCTCGATTTTTTTCTGTTTCGGGTAGTTGATATCTTAATAGCATTAAAATAGTAATTCTGAAATGATTAAAACAGGTGCCAAAACAGATATCTTCCATGGACTTCATGAAGGTCAGAATAGGTCACTTACCTAAAATTACCTGGTTCAAAATTTTCTGATAGGAGCATACCGTCTAGCGCCACCGCGCTCTGTCCTTGACACTGATTGAGATGTAATAAAGCAAAACGAATGTCAGTAACTTTACTATGATCTCTTAAAGGACATAAATTGAACACCAGTTATCGTATGCCTAAACCAAGTATCTAGGTTCAGGGTGGTTGCATGAGGAGGTCTGGGGGCACGTTGAATATCGATCCGGAGTTTGACTTCTCTAGACCTTACTTGACTACAAGGCCACGTCCCAGGAAATTGAAATTTTTGACACAAGTGAGTTCACATGTAGGCCAACCCAGCCTGTGAATTTGGTGTCTCCGTCTCTGTTGGCTTTATTAGAACTGGGGGCAAAAATCGCCCTTCTCCTACCCTGGTGATGGGCATTCAACCGGCTACCCGGGCGCTTGTTAAAGGGGACAACAACTTTCGAGATAATATTGCTATCTAAATTAAGCATCGTTATCGAGCAGTGTCAAGATCGAGCAACAACGACATCGATAACTGCCATGTAGGCGGTCATAGGCGGCCATTTAGTCAAAGCAAAGCGGTGGTCAGCTTCATTTTAGGTTAGCGATCTTTCTGACCCTCGTTATGTCAACAAAAATAGATACGTTAATGCTCCTCTAAACAAGGAATTCGAAATGAACGTCAAAAACTACCTCTTGCGACAAGTTGTCCTGCCGAAATGTCATTTTTTCCTCAGTCTGAACAATATACTGGCCCAAGCTCAGCAGAAGTGCGTTTATATCCTAATGTCAACTGTCTACTTTTCTAACGTCTCAATAGCTCAACGGCGGGACCACACAGCATCTGTGTGAGCCCGTCTAAAACTCTGTTACATTAGCTTGAATGTCTCTCGTCGGGCGTGAGTTCATAAGGGCTTGAGGAACAATTAAGTTAATGCTATTGCCCATAATATGTGTGTCCACGTCATGAGGTCGAGACATTATGCACGACAGTTTTCTCCTCGCGCCACATTTGAGCTGTTATCACTTTGGAAGGCATAGCCTAACTATGTTTTATGAAATTTCTCTGGAATGGTTCTGGTAACTCCTAATGCTGTGAGCTTGAACATATGTCACACGAGCAACGTACGTTACAGTGCGGCTGAACGCGTACGCGGTGAGCAAGACCGCGACAAACGGGTGATCTCAGGCATGACATATCAAGCGTTGGATCTTCCAGGCTGTTCATATGTTCAACATTCCAGGATCGTCTTTTGAGTTCGAAGGATATCGTAGCAAACCTCCTACGTAGGGGATGGAGGGGGCGAGGGTGTCTGTGGGCCCCCACTTTAGGTAAGAGATGAGACGCGGTATTGGGCTTTGGAAAGATCCACACAATCACGTCTGACCCTGGACCCACAGGGTAAATAAGCAAAAAAACTGTGTAGTTACGATGTAACCCCAACCCCACTTCTGAACGCTGCCAATGAGCGCATCTCCGTTTGTTGACGTCCTTGTGCGGCCCATTCCAGCCAGCATGCACGCTCTGTCTGCGATCGCCGGCTCGGCGTTCGGCGGTGTGACAGTCCACCACCTGGGCCCGCGGCGGGTGCTGCTGCTGCAGGCGCTGCCCTGCATCGCCGGCTGGCTGCTCATGGCACTAGCCTACAACTTCCCCATGCTGATCGTGGCCCGGTGCTTGATAGGCTCGTCTTGTGGCCTGGCCTTGAGCGCAGGCCAGGTGAGTCGTGGGAACTTCTCCCGCAAACTTTTCTGGCGAGAGTTTGGCTTCTCAGCGAATGATGTTGATCACCCCTTTTACGTCGCGGTTTAAAGTGAGCGAAGAGCAGGCTGAGTCTGTTGATGTCAAAGGGACAAATGCTACCGGCATTCAAACTCGGACCGTATATGAAAACCCACGGTCCTGGTCACTCGACCATCACTCTCCCTGTCGCGAGCAAAACACACCTCGGTGCTAATTGGTGGCCATACTGGCAAGTGAGGCTCGTGTGAGCTCCGTTGACGTGGCCCTCTGTAGGTTACTTAATACGTTGAGGCACATGGATCTGAATGCATACGGCATCGCAGTGTCCAGCTCCTGTCATAGTCCGTTCATCTCCGGGGTCGCTACCATCCATGGAAGCCTGTGCACCCCTCACCACCACCAATGTCACGTTTCAGGTGTACCTCGGCGAGTCGTCTTCACCTCAGATTCGTGGACGATTGGTCTGCATCAGCGGGCTGATGAACAACCTGGGATGTCTGATGAGCTATATCTGCGGTTACGTGCTGCCCTGGCGCTGGGTGCCCGTCGCGCCCGTTCTGGTACTGCTCGTACCCAGCGTCGTGGGCTTGATCTTTGTGCCCGAGTCACCCTATTGGCTGCTGGGGCGGAAGCAGCACGAGCCTGCGCGACGAAGCCTGCGCGTGCTGCGCGGAGACGATGACGTGGCGGAGCGGGAGCTGCGGATCATCGCTGAGGCGAGCAAGGCCCGCCAGAAGCCGCTCACCATGTGGGAGCTGGGGCGAGAGATGCGCAAGCTGTCCGTCCTGGCGCCGTTCCTCACCATCACCGCGCTCTTCTTCCTACGAGTGTGCACCGGTTTTATGACCGTGCTCACGTACACGGTGGTGATCTTCCGGGAGACGGGGTCCGCGCTGGGCAGCTACGAGTCGGCAATCCTGCTCGGCAGTATGCGAGCATTTAATGCCGTCTGCTGCGTGCTGTATGTCAGCGACAGGTTCGGCAGGCGTCCCCTCCTTTTATTTTCCGGCATCGGATGTTCGCTCACGGCACTGGGCATAGCCGCGTTCCTGTTCGCTCGTGATCACGCGCCGCATTGGCCCGGCTGGCAGCGCATCTCCTGGCTGCCACTTCCACTCATCCTGATGTTTATATTTTCCTTCGACTACGGCTTTGCGCGCACTGGGTGGGTGGTGCAGTCTGAACTCCTTCCGAACCGCGTGCGCTCGGCGCTGTCCGGTGTTAACATTCTGACTCATTACGTGTCCACCTTCGCAGCCGTTTTCTCTTTCCCTTACATGCGCGAGGCGTTCACACTTGCGGGCACCTTCTGCGTGTTTTCTTTCTTTAGCTTCCTCGGCCTCCTTCTCACGATCTTCTTCATTCCCGAGACGAAGAACCAGAGGTTGGAAGCGATTGAAGCTTTCTATGTGAAGCGCTTTGGTGGGCACCAAGAAGAGCCTGCTGACGTGACGAAAGCTTCAACTGACAACACCTGACCAAGCTCAGCAAATGCACGACCCCTGGCTATGTTGTGTAAAGGCTATCACATTAGTCATTGTGAAGTTGTGTGTTAGTAAGACATGAATGCGCAATGTATCACATATCATTTAAAATGTAATAAAGTATTGCTCTTATCTTTGTGCTGTGCTCCCGTGGAACTCATTAGCTTCTCATGTATTGCGGGGGGGGGGCAATGGACAATCCTCAAAGTTCTCGGTAGGTTGGGCTCAATTTGGAAAGACAAACTTGGAAGTGTCTGTCACAATTTGTTAACAAAAAAGCAGGCGCAACAAGTCAAACAAAGCTTTTCTCGAAAGATCGCAATGTGAACATTCGGGTCAGCTTGCCTATTAGCTACGATAACGTATTGGCTAGCATCAGGGCAAGGCTGCCATGCATTATCCGTGTGTTCGCGGAGTGAGCTGACTGGCTCAAGACTTCACCGGTTGCCGCGGGAGGTCGAACATCGGCATGACCCAGCGATAGGCTCTATGCCGGTTAAGTCGAAATACTACATCCATAAAACCATCTTTCCATAGTCAATAAAACTTCACATGAAAGGTATATTTCTCGTTCAATTTTAAATAAATTTTGTTACAAACGTGTCTGAAGACTCTTTAGCGGTCAACATCTCTGATGTATTGTTGTGCACCAAGACATCCAGGATTGTCCCCATGACATGGCGGGACATGGGGCTATGATGATATGAAGAACAACATTGAACTATCTATCTATCACTGAGCAACTATCACTATCACTGTACGCAGCACCAGTGGCCGGACGCGACCATGATCTCTCTCTCTCTCTCTCTCTCTCTCTCTCTCTCTCTCTCTCTCTCTCTCTCCTCTCTCTCTCTCTCTCTCTCTCTCTCTCTCCTCTCTCTCTCTCTCTCTCTCTCTCTCTCTCTCTCTCTCTCTCTCTCTCTCCTCTCTCTCTCTCTCTCTTCTCTCTCTCTCTCTCGCTCCTCTCTCCTCCTCTCTCTCTCTCTCTCTCTCTCTCTCTCTCTATCGCTCCTCCTCTCGCTCTCTCTCTCTCTCCTCTCTCTCTCTCTCTCTCTCTCCTCTCTCTCTCTCTCTCTCTCTCTCTCTCTCTCTCTCTTGCAAATACCCTCGCTCACGTTTTATACAACCTCAGAGGCGTCCCAGCAGAGGGACAGAGAGCGCCGGGAGAAAGTACCAAACGCGATTATACGTCTGCTGACTCTCGACGTGCTGAAGCCTGGTACCGCTATGCGCCTCCATTCCAAAGGTACCCGATGCCAGCAATCCCGTACCGACGTCGGCGCCCGCCGCCGCGACAGCGCTGGCCTTGTCACTCTCCCAGGCAGCCGGGGCTTCCCCAGGGCGATCACCAGGGCACGAGGCTGCCGCTCGCAGGATCGCGACTGCGCGGCCGCCGCCTATTTCGGGCCCCGGTCCGTGACAGTCCGTCTATCTGCGGGCGCCATCGACGGTGGAGCCGGCGGCGGCGCGCTCGTCCCGCCTACCGTCGGGGTTACAGCGTCGGTGGCGACAGTTCGGCGCAGTCGGGCGGCAGTCGGAGCTGGTGCGGGTCGGGCCGCAGTCGGAGCTGGTGCGGCGGCGTCCGCGGCCGCGGGAGGTCTGACGGCGCTCACGGGCTCCCGGCGCCTGGCAGCGGTCGAAAAGAAAGGTGAGGGCGATGTGGGAGGGGGCACACATACCAGAATTTTATCGTGATCACGGCTCAGCGAAACAGTGCAGAGTGTTATTAACACTTGCCAGAAACTTATGCATGGAAGCACTAGGTGGTGAAGTGCTCATCGAAACCGAATAACTTTTACCAAAAGCTATGAACGGCGCAGAAAATTCCGCAAGACTGTGCATCAAGACACACTCCGGAAGTGTTTCAGAGCAGTAGAAGCGTTCGCCAACCCTAATACAATTGTTGTCACGAGACGTCCAATGCCCTAAAGCCGAGAATAATTCGTTTCGACAAAGCTGTAGTGCATTTGGATTAAAGGTAATGCGAAACATTAATACTAGTTTTCGTCTTCCTAGCAGAATTGCTGGTTACGTTATGTTAGTACACGACACGTTTATATGACTCTGTCATACGCTGTCCGAACTATTTATGCAGCATTTGTTCGACGAAGTAGAATTTATGGATTCCTGAAAATCAAGTTGCACGGAGGTGTTCTGGTCACAGCCCAAGTGGGTGATTTGTGATTTTATTATTAAATACTAAAGTGAGCTGGGCATTTCATTATTTCAAACTCGATCGTCAAACGTCGTCGGCAATACACATAACTATAATCGCAGATGGTGTTTGTACTTACTTCACGTCCTTCAAGACTATAAGACAATTATATTTATATTTCTGATGGAATATGCTTTCATTTATTTTTATTGAACATTCGTTTTATTCTTTTTTCTGTTGTCCTTCATAAATAAGTTGTCGTGAATCGAACACCGAAGATGACACTACTTGACGTAAGGCAAGCCAACGCAGGCTAGCGTGGGATCGGCATGGGGTCAAAATAATCGAAGTTTATTATACTGCGATGTCAAAGAATCCAAGTGATGGTTGAGAAATGTAGTGGCCAACTATCCCGGCATGATTCAATTGGAGGCGCCAAAAAAGAGATCATTGCTCCCCGCTCCCCACATTGCATATTGATTTATCATATTGGTTGAAGTCGGTAAATACGTGCTTTTCGTCTGACTGGTAAATGTAACCAATGCAAAGCGTGTTTTTCCCGCCACCTTCTGAAACTAAGAACATAGCCAGAGGGCGGCTCGCATGTTAACTATCGCTCTCCTGAATCAATGGAAGGGGTGGGGACAAACTGTGGGAGGACGCACTATTCGTGCATTGAGCCACTTTCAATCAGCTGCGCCACATGTCCCACAGGTCACCCACTCACCTAGTTAAGTGTGGGTAGTACCCACACCTCCCGACCGCAGCTGCCGCAGCACTTATTATGGATCGGCGGTGCCGGAGGTGTCCCAGTGCGAGCCCCACGCGCGACTGCAGGACACGCCGGGCGCCTCTGGCCGCCGCCTTTCCGAGAGGACAATGAACTGCTCTGGCGGTCACACCCACAGGGAAGGAGACCCATTGTGTGGTGCTGTGTGACCTGCAGCCGGTACCCAAGGGAGCCTCTGTTGGCCCCGGTGAACGGCTCGTAGCGCGTCCCCCGCGGCGCTGGCGGGCCAAGATCGGTGTCACTGAGGGTTCACCGGACCAGTACACCCGCTGCGGAAGGTCTGGTGACGGTCAGCCCGGCCCGGCCGTTCCGGCGCGGCGCCGGCGGGCCAAAATCTGTGTCATTGAGGGTTCACCGGACCGGTACACCCGCTGCGAAAGGTCTGGTGACGGTCAGCCCGGCCTGGCTGTTCCGGCGCGGCGCCGGCGGGCCAAGATCGGTGTCATTGAGGGTTCACCGGACCGGTACACCCGCTGCGGAAGGTCTGGTGACGGTCAGCCCGGCCCGGCTGTTCCGGCGCGGCGCGTTCGAAAGCCTGTGCCGCACGGGGTGACTCAGATACACCCGGATTAAAACTATTCCGAGCGATTACATATGAAACCTGCAAACACTGTTTACGCGCAGAGCACATCTTCAGTTATGCACTTGCTGGTGTTGTTTCAGGTTTCATACCATGCCATGCAGGTTCCCATGTAGCTTCAATACGTCGTCATTGATAGGACGCGAAATCATTGGTCAGCCGTTGGGGAATGGTGCCTGTCTTTGGAGGATAATTTACATGGATACATGTGCATGTGTTTCTCAAAAAAAATATATTTTCCCGATGCTCTTAGATGACACATGAATGGGAGATTCATCCATGATTCTGAAGTACTCTAAACCATCCAGTGGTTTTAAAGATGCACTTCAGTGGCTCAGTAATCGTGGCGTGCGCTGCCCGTGGCTGGGCGGCATTTGCCCAGGGCGGTGGATAGCTGTGTAGCACGGACCTCACATTGGCCGAACATAAAGCTGCATGAGCCAGATGCTGCCCCCACTCATCCGATCTCATGGGGAGATGTGGCACATGTGCAACGCGCAGCGCGGGACCCATCATGCCTAGCGTGTGCGGCATGAGTGCCACCGGTAGCGTCACCATAAAGTGGATCTTTTTACCTCATGACCAATGCCGCCGAGATCCGATCTGCTATAGTGATACATACATGTGTAAAGCACAAAAGCTAGAGCTCCTGAAAAGCGACTGGATTTCAAGCACCGCTGACCTAAGCGATGGCTGGGAGCAGTGCTGTGGCTGAGTGCACAGGTCTCGTCGCGTCTGCAGTTGAGTGCACAGGTCTCGTCGCGTCTGTCGCACCAGCCGTTGTCTCTGAGCTAACGGCATCGCTGTCAGGACATCCGGATCAGGAGAGGTTCAGGGAAGGCCAGGATTGATTCTCAGCGGCAGATGACCCAGTGGCAAGGCTGCCGCACGTCTTCCAAATACCGGTCTCGTTCAAGGAGGGTTGTTGGTTTCCAATAACGGCTTCATTGTCCGGTTGTAAATGGGTCTGTGCCCGTTTACTTGCACCGGGAAATTACCCCACACCATCAAAAGATTTAGCTGTTTCCGTTACCTTCCTCTCGCCCTGGTATTCATGTTGCCGCTCCAGGACAGGCAACCGCCATCCACTTCCATGAATGAGCCACCGTTCAATTTCAATTTTCAGAAATCTTATGCATGCGCCCAATTTTATGCGCGTTCGCAAGACTTAGCAACACAACCTCGACACCAGGCGTTGCAGTCTCATTAGGCCGCACAACATCGGCCCGGTGGATAACACCGAGCTGCGGCCAACGGGTGGACGAACATGGTGACGCATCTGAAATGCGTTTGCAAAAACCTTTGAACGCTTAAGGATATTACATCAATGCAACTAAATGCACCGTGGTTCTTTATGTGCCCTACAGCCGGTGCTCTGGGCCATTATGCCATCCAGCCGGGCCTTTGATCGTCGGTTCCGGTGACCCACCGGGCCCCTCTTTGGGCCTCATCAAACACTGGCCTTAGTCGCCCCGGGGCCCATCGCGAACACAGGATCCTCTGCTAGGTACTGTGAGCCCCTGACAGGTACAGCCCCTGGCCGACCAGTGTAAATCGCTGGCCCCGGCTTTGAAGCTGATTGGCAAGTGGGCCCTAAGACCCATACCGACACGGAGCCGACTTTGCGACACTGGTGGTGCCTACTAGACAGATACGCCCATATCGACTCAAAAAGTCTCCGATCGGCACAAAAAGCGTCCTGACTGTTGTCTAAGCGCCCGTCCCTGCAGGCCAGGCCCCTGGGAAAGACTCCGACCAGTCCTTCGTGCCCTCAAGCCCTCCAATCGAGCCCTTAATCATCGGTCCCGGTGGGCCTTCTGGGCTCTCCGGGCCTCCTCGAACACTGTCTCTGGCCGACTCGGGGCCCCCAGCCAACGAAGTGCCCTAGTTATGCGCTGTGGGGCCCTGACAAACGCTGGGGCGCCGGTCAATGTAAATCGTGTGTTCTTGCTTTGTCCCTGCTTGGGGAATGGACCCTCAAGCCCATGCCTACAAGGAGTCGAGTGTGCATTATTGGGGGTGTCTGACCGACGTATAGGTCCTTAGCGACTCAGGCGGTGCCTGATTATGCCCTCAGAGCCCTCAAATTAGGGTTTGCACGGGGCACTTAATTGTAGATCCCGGGGGCCCGAAAGGCCCATCGGAACCTAAAGGACGGGGGGGGGGGCATTTGCTCTCTGTTCCTCCCCCCAGCCTGCGTTACTGCCCGAGTGTGCAGATCGAGCGGGCAGGGGTCGCACGTGTGCTCGGGTGATTTCCTGATCTTCTCATACAGCAGTGCTGAGTACTGACGTCTCACACAGCAGTGCTGAGTGCTGACACCTCACACAGCAGTGCTGAGTGCTGACACCTCACACGGCGGCGCTGAGTGTTGACACCTCACACAGCAGTGCTGAGTGCTGACGTCTCACACAGCAGTGCTGAGTACTGCCGTCCCGCACAGCAGCGCTGATGGCGCTATGCTCCCGTCGCGACGCGCTATCAACGCAGCGATGGCGCAATCGCAGCTGTGCACACACGGCGTCGTTCGGTGTCGTTCCCGTAACGACAGCAAGGCGCGTGGCGACCTGAGATGTGTTGCGTTATTTCCATGGTTACGGGGCGTCAGTGGCGGTCGGGAGGCGGGCGATCCGGGTCGTGATTTCAGTCGGTCGCCGGTGAGCTGGACGGACGGCGGCCGCGGTCTGCGCCATGAGAGCCGTTCGAGGTGAGTCGAACAGGCGGGTCCGACCCACGCCGATTTTCGCCGTCCCCCGCCTCACACGACGGCTGGCCCGCCCGGCCGCGCGCCGGCCGGCCGCTCCGGCAGCGGCGGTGACGATCGATACGGGCCCGAGACGAGCGCGGCGCAGCCTCCGCTGGCCGTGACCGGCGGAGCCCGCGCGGTGCCCGCGGCGGGCCCCGATCAATCACGCGTCACGTGCCGTTACCGCGTGAAGGGGTGTGGTGTCACTTCCGCCAGATTTCCGGCGGTTGCGGTGTAGTCCGGTGAAACCGGTCGTAAATGTAAACGACTTCTTTGCCACGACATCCATAAAGGAAGCCGAACTGTGCAGAAACACTGCAGTGTAATGAGCATTTGTAGCAAAAGAGAACCGCGATTTGAACCAGGAGCTGCAAAAAAGCTCATTTTTATATACGTAGCGCAAAATTAATGCCAATGTGCTAAAAACCCGTGGTGAACGTTAACAGCTGCATTGCCACGACGTGTATAAGATTGAATCGAGACTTGGCGATCGGCACTTGCCAGGGTCAAGGCTGCTGCGTCATTTTTGTTGCCAGGGTAAAGGCCTACCCAGCAGGCTTTTTACGGCTTTGCCTCGGGATATGATGCTTTTGATGGTGGCCAGTGCAATAGAACTGTGTCTTTGATGGATTTAACACGCGCCCGGGTAACCGGTTGAATGCGACGCGCTCGGGTAGGGGAGGGAGCAGTCTAAGCCCTCAAATCTAAAAAGAGAGCTTGCATGTGAAATCACTTGTCTAGTGTTCAGGTCCCTAGGTCAAGATATTCGGGTCAAATAAGGCCGAACAATGTCAAACGCTAGATTGATGTCCGAAGTGCCCTCAAGCCCTCCCATGCAGCCACTTTTGAGCCAGACGGTTGTTTGAAACCTAAGGTCGCTGGTCCTCCTTTCAGATTAGTGACCTTATTGGTCTTTCATAACGTCACGGCAATCAGAAACCTACGATATTGTTTTTATTTTCGATTGCAACTAACTCCAGTCAACAATTGCGCTTGATGCGTATTCTTAAAAAAGTATAAGGCTGGTCGAAGTCTTTTTGAGGTCAGTGACCGCCTCTGACCTTCATGAAATGAAGTCCAAATGATTAGGCAAGTTCTCCAATAAAAATCGGTTCGATTTTAACCTCGGTAGGACCTTTGTACTTGGCCCAAAGCCCAATGCAGTTAGTCGTAACTGTAATTGTCTAATTGCCTAAGACACTACCTCAGAGATGTGTGGCTAGCTCTGACACTGTACAGTCGCATCAGATCGAACGATTTTCTAGGAACTACCTTTGCTGACCTGAGTCATTTCCTGACTTTGAACCGCCATTGGTCGGTGACCTTAACAGACGCATCTAATTTCCAAGACCATGATATCGGTTCTTTAAGTGCCTACATCTGTAAAAGATAAGCACTGATACGCCGCTCCGTTCCGAAGACATTCTGGAATAAATCTTCTGCCGGGCGGTTGGCTCTCACCTGTGCACGTGTTGAAGGAAGTCAGTCAGCTGTTGTGCGCATGCGTTCGCACATATTCTGTCGAAGTTGGTGGGGCCAGGTGAATGCTTGGTACATTGCTGAGATGCGTGTAGATCATGGCAACGGCCGTTCCCCCTCCCCCTCCCCTTTCCGGCGCCCGGCTTTGTCCTCGGTGCATCTGTGTCTGCACCACTCGCTCTCTGCGGTCCGTCACGGATCATTATTATCAAGACCCGTTTGAAATTGATTCGACGAAAATATGTGCAATGAGCAGTCAATCAGCCTTCCGGGGTGCTGCTCGTCACCTTTCGTATCCGGCTTTGCAAAGTTTATGCGTTGCAAGGGCGTATGTAGGCTAATGGTCATCATAAGAACAGTCATCACGACGCCGGCGGTAGGCCAACTGATTTCACTGCCGAAACCAACGGCCGTTCATTGTGGATATTGTCCTTCTTACATCCGCCAATGACAGGCCAAAATTTTGAAAGCATATACTGAAAGGTTATGATGTTTTGGTGATACGATACCTCATTTCAGTCAAATATCGCAATTGAATTGTAAAACATATTTCAATGCGTGCATCTGAAAATAACGCTATTGACAGCCACATACTTCAACAAAGGAAGCTTGAGCCTCCTTTATGCAATAAAGCTACTATTACTTCTGGTGCCTCGATAGCTCGAATCGGGTGCCAAGAAAAATCTCCAAGTTATATTGTTGTTGTGGCGATTTGACAATGAGCTTTCATAAAGCACGGATGTTTGAATCGGCAACCGCCATGCAAATACGATTTGGTTTGGAAAAGAACTGTCAGATGCTGTGTTCGATGCTGTGTGTCGATGCTGTGTGCTGTGTTTTTGTCGAATGCATTACATGGACCAAACATTTGGTAAAATGTTCGAATTTCTCGTGCATTGTTATGACGGTTTCAGAATTTCAGGGCCACACTGAAGCAACAGGCCCAAGTTTCTTGCACATCCTGTACGCAGGAATGTACAACTGGTTCTGTGTGCATGTGGAGCGTTTCAGAACAGCCTGAGCCTGGGCGTAGTGAGTTTGTGGCTGCAACTGCCCTAGATTCTTGTTTGTCCTAGATTACCCTAGGTTCTTGTTGATGTTATGCATGCTCTCACGCTAGTTTGCCAAAGCTTCAGTTATTCGACATGCATCTACTTTCATCTTCCATTGACGATGTAAAGCCGTCAAACTCAAACTTTTCGTTGCTTGGTCTACATTTCGTTAAGTTGGTCGTAAGCTGACGGTGAGTCAGCTGGCAGCCCGCCATATCGCTCCCAGACTGCCACTGGGATCAATTACAAACATGGCTGCTTTCCCAAATAACATCGCACAAATCGCGTTAGTGCTGCGAAGGGTGAGCTTCTACGCTTTCGAAACCCTAATAAGAAATCAGAAACGCAGAAGGCTTGTGAAAATATTTATGAGAAATTTCACGGGTCGGAAAATAGCCGGTATAATAATTGTCTTAGGTCAACTATGTTGCATCCATCTTTATTGTTTTCGGATGTGCAGAGATGACACCATACGCTGTCAAGGGTGACACGTATTCTTGAAGCCCGAAGAAATGTGTGCGTATGTGTGTGTGTGTGTGTGTGTGTGTGTGTGTGTGTGTGTGTGTGTGTGTGTGCATACAACTCATCAAAAGACAACCCATAAATCTAATGTTCTCAAATTAGAGTACATTCGTACCGGAAGTGCCTGTCTGTCCTGTCCTACCGTTCCTCTGAGTGAAGAGCGTGCTTGTCCCGTCCTGCCGCTGCTCTGAGCCGGTGAAGAGCGTGCCTGTCCCGCCCTGCCGCCGCTTTGAGACGGTAAGCAGCCGGCCGGCTCCAGCGCCTTCCGCCCTGTTCCCTGACGGGAGTCGGCGTGTTTCAGCGGCTGGTCGCCGGTGGCGCACGCTGTGTCACGCGCGTGCCGACGAGCACCAGCTGGAGGAGGTGGCCACCCTCCTGGACCCGGAGTCGGCCGTCGCCGAGGCCTACGGCCGCCGCCCGACCAGCGCCGCCGACAGCTGCGGCGCCAGCACGCCCCTCGCGCTCCGGCCGGTCAGTGCACCGCAGGCCAGAGGCGGCGCGCCCGCCGCCGGTCGCCCACCGCGCCGTCGGTCGGCGGCGAACTGGTGTGGTCGACCTGAAGTGCGCTGTTGGACGACCGGTGCTGTCAGCTGCCGAACACGACATTTGGCATCGCTGCCGATGCCAAATGGACCGGCTTTACGGCAGCGCGCTGGGTTTGGTGGCTTGGACGGGCGCTCCCACGGGATGCTGTCCCCGGATGCCGCCTGGGTTTGTGTCTGCGCGGGTGAGCCCGCTGCCGTGTTGGCCGGTCGGCCTGGCGCCGCGTTCCACTGACACGTGCCGCCTCGTGCCGAGCAGTCGAGTGCCAACGTGAGCCCGGTGGCGGTCCAGATGGACGCCATGGAGCAGTTCGTGATGGAGCCGGCGGCGCAGGGCGTACACGTCAAGTGTCGGGTCACGCGGGACAAGCGCGGCATGGACCGCGGCTTCTATCCCACCTACTTCCTGCACATGGAGAAAGATGACGGCAAAAAGGCAGGTTTCACCGCGCTTTGCACGGTGCGTCGCGCCGCTGCACGGTGTATGGTAGGCCGTACCAACGTACTGTACACGGTACACCGCACCACCGCGCTGGTACGGTAGGTCGTACCACCGCACTGTGTGCATTAGGTCGCACCACCTCTGTGGACGGTAGGTCGCACCACTACACTTAACACGACAGGTCGCACCACTGCACTGTGTAGGCACGACGGTAGGAGGGGGGGGTCGCACCGTCCGAGTGACATTTCTGCGATCGAAGAATGCGCAGCGCTCGACACACTTTGACTACAGTTGCGTCCAGTGAGCTGCTGCCTTAAGGTTACGAGAAGGCAGAGCTGCAATTGCTCGCGGAGATTCCACACGTATCTGAGCAATGCGCCTCAGGTGGCTGACCATACGTGCCCGCAGGTGTTTCTCTTAGCCGGCCGGAAACGCAAGAAAAGTACCACCAGTAACTACCTCATCTCCACGGATCCCACCGATCTATCCAGAGGAGCTGAAGCCTTCGTCGGTATGTTCAGATTTATTGCATGCCATGCAGTTGTGTACGCAGCCTAGCATGCAGCAATATAACTGCTAAGTTGTGTGTTGATGTTCAGAGCAGCTTGCTTTGATCTCATTGCTCTTGGTGCGGTAACTTGTCTTGTTCCGCACCAACAATTTAAACAAATGTACATTTGATGACCGCTAATTGCATGGCGTCCTCACCTGTGATAAACGTTGTTTGGTTCCTGACATTCTATAAGCTTTTCATGATTGTGCTTGATTATCATAACGGTCATCCTAGACCTCAGCTGTTCTTCACTCCGATTACAAAGGAGAAGTGGGGGCGGTACCACTCCCCCTACAAAGAACAGAGTATCATCGTGTTTTCTGTACAGGTACACGCTGAGTATCGAGTACTGAGCTTAAGCTCGCTTTACAGGCAATTACAGGAGTTAAGCTGCTTGCATCCACTTGTGGAAAATGTGCTGAAGGTCACTGTGGTCGAGGTGCCGGGAAACATGTATTAAAAAGCATAGCGTTTTTGATAATACGCGGAGTAGATACGTACGGTATATTAAAATCCGGTCAAGTTACAACGTTTTGCTCAACGGTTGAAAATATAATATGGGTGAAAAATGCAAAATGAAAAGGCTTTGGGTCTTAATCAGTTTAAAAACAGCATGGGAAAAAATCCATGTTCGTCATCGAGCAGCCAACGATCGTGCACTACACCCACGCATTGAAATTCATGTCTTAATGAATATACCTCTTCCACCTGAAATAATGTTGAAGTAATACCTTATTAGCATGGTTTATTTTTCCCGCTCTAATACATCACTGGTTCACAATTAGTTCATATGATCCAATGTGTCATTTCATCACAGTCATCGCAGAGGACAAAGATTTCATGAATATTCGCCCCCACACTATTCCAAACAAAGGGGGAGGGGGGCTCTGCGTCTAGTGGTAACATTTGTGGAGGCGGCGTTGAAGCTCGTTCACTCCCCGTCCGGGGACAACACGATCGTACAAATCATGCTGTCCCGGGCATGCAAATAATGTTCCCCGGCTTACTAAAGGCTTACTAAGGAGACAAACGCTTGATATTTCCTTGACATGAACTATTAAGATGCATAGATGAAATGATAGACACTTGGATTCATGGTGAGAACCTCACTAATATCTAGAGCGCCTAAGCCCCGCGCAATCCGCAATTCGATTCATGATAGAGCGTTCCAACGCCTCTGGTGCTTTCCGTTCCTGGAGATAGGAATTGCAGTTGAAGCCAATGGGGCTTACAGCACGAAGGTATATCAAACCGATGGTCGCACCAGTGATCCTTACGCACGATTTCGCGCAACCGGCTCCAACGGAATGAGCGGTTCCCATCTATAAAATCAGGCCAGCGGTTCGGGTCTCTGTTCGGGTTCGAGATCGACTTCGAGTCGATAGTTTGACAACTATCGACACGCTAAATGTGGACGGACAAAATTTGTGGACCCTGCAATGTGTCAGCTTCGTTTCGGATCGCTCGTTCGTCCAACAGAAAGTGCTTGAAAAGCGCCTTGTCAAGACGCCGGCCAGCCGTCTGCCGTGTCCGGCGGACCGATGAGAATGTCACGCGTGCTGCGACGGCGTCAGAGGCGTGTATGCTATTCAACGCATGTCGGATATGAGTTAGAACGTAAGTTGTGCGAGGAAAGGTATGTGAGGGAAGCGAAACATCCAGTCAGGTTGTGCCTCAACAAGCCTCGGTGAGGCGTGTCCAACAGTACACCCGACGCACCTGTCGGGGTTATCTCGCAAGCAAACGTGCAGACCATCACGCAACAGACACAATCAGTTATTATCACCCAAGGTAGCTTTAAAGAGACAAGCCGGAACATTGTTCCATCCATGCGCATCAAAGACAAGACACCATTACTCAACGTGCTGAAACTTTCTGGTCTACTCTGAACACTGTTGCGACCAGTGGCCTTTAGTGTGTATAGCTAAATTGTTTCAGTGTTTTCTGTCAACTCTGCTCATGTTTAGCTGTTGAGCTGGCAGTGCGAGCAAATGCGATTCATTGCGCCGGTGGGCTGTTCTGGTGTTGGTAGATGCAATGTCACAAAAAAGAACAAAGGCTTGCAACGGTTGGTGAGCATCTGGATACAGTAAAAGGCGAGCAGAAAAGAGCATTCAAACGATTTTGAAAAGCTCACCAAGCGTACTGTATTATCAGCATATCATTACAAGACGCCGAGTGGCGGAGCCAGGTAAATTTCACAAGCTTGAAAAACCTGAGCCCATTAAAAAAACGACTTTAGCATTGCTGGATTGAGATCGGTGGTTTGGTAATGTGAGAGCTCCATAGGTGCATGTTTGTAGGTCTAGTGACATAGCACGCGCACGTTCGAAGGTTATCGATGTTAGCTTCTCCTTTTGTAACCTGCCGACTTACGTCTCACCTGCTCGGGGAATTTCATTTTCACTTAATCCGTCTGTCGTGCGCGATAAAAGAAAGAAGGTTTTCCCATCGAGATGAGCCCACTATCTAGGACTACAAGGATCCCACTCATGACTCGGGCCTGCGTTGACAGAGCCATTCTTCCAGTATTTCTGTTATATGGGACCCACTTATGTTTCATAGCGACCTTGCATGAAAACGAAGCACCACGAGCGTATTTTGATCGTGAGGCTGCCGTCTGTTTGCGGTGGGCCCAATCCCTGAGAGAAGTTTGTAAATTGCGTGTAGTTTTACCGCACTTCATCAAGCGACCTTCTGAGGCGTTGCCTCTTTGCACTCATCGAAGGACTTGCGGTTCAACCTTGTTTTGAACGGCTCGGAAGCGGCTCACAGATTTTGAGACCCAATTCGGCTCATGACCCGCCGTTCCTAATGTTTTGGGTCAGCTCAGTTCAGACTCATTGCTTGCAGCAAATCATTTGACTCATGACTAACGCAGTTTGCAGAATCAAATATCTAATCCAATTTTGGCTCGTTGCCGTATAGACTCGTGAGCCGTATGACTCATAGATATATACATATGTACATATGCACATATATGTATGCATATGTTCATATATATATATATATATATATATATATATATATATATATATATATATATATATACATATACACATGTATATAATATTATATTATATAAAATACATATATATATATATATATATATATATATATATATATATATATATATATATATACATATACCTGTGTATTTGGTACGAATAGTCTGGTAGCAATTTTGTAGATTAAGCCTAGCAAGTGCAGCGCAGCAAGCAGTGCCTTTCCTGTAACCTGTTACCTACGACCCAAACCCATTTGTTATGTAGCTTGCAATGTGGGCTAAACTGCGCGAAACCTGACAGTTGGCAGTCTGTACCTGCCAAGGGTCAGCCAAGGACATTCACACTTAGGTGATTACATTTCCACTAGTTAGTACCAGCCGTGTCGTCGGCGATCGCGTGTCAGCAATTCAACATCGGATTGCAGTTTTTGTAATGGCTGAGCTGAACTCGACTCAACTCAACTCAACAGCTGAACTAGAGATAGGCTAACGTAGGCGCCGACGCCATTTTCGCCAGGATACCTTAAACTCATCTCATCAGGTCACCCTATGATGAGTTAGGAGTCAAATCAGGTTTTCGTGCTGCGTAGAGATTTGTGCGCTGCGCACCACTTTACTCGCATTCCAAGACTCAATCTGCCGACCAAATTATCTCCTGCAAGCTGCCTGTTGCGTGGAAATGGTTATCGATGCAATCCTCGGGAAGTCACCTTCCGCGAGATGTAATCCGCATGTGAGACAAGACGACCTTGCCACTGCGCTGTTTATTTCATACAGCCCCAGCAATAGCATGCCTGCAACAGTTGAAGTAGTGGCGAGTGGGGGTTTCAGGTATGGCAAGGGTCGTGAAATTGTACTTCTTGTCGCCGACCAAGTTTCTGGAAGAAAAAATGCTACCCATAGCGAAATGCAACATTATATGGCAAAATGGTCATTCAGTCCATGCCCAGTAGCGTCAAGGCTATGCCAACCCCCTGTGGTTTTCTGAGCATACCAATGCGACGGATTGTGCAGTCTCGCTCAAACCTTGGGTAGCCTCTGGGGCATCCGTTGTTCGCGTGTTGACACCAAAAAATGTCCTAGCGATTCTAGCTTCAGAGTAGCGAGGTTCTCACGATCATTGCAAGACGATTCAAGGCCGCCGGGTGCGGCGGGCGGCCAGGTAAACGACGATTCTGCGGACCGCGCGCGGAGGGTTGGCACTGTTGCAGGAACGAAGCCCTACATTATAAATATAGGGTCCAGACAGATACAACTACATGCCATTGAACTCATAATTAAATAAGGGACACGCCTCTTTATGTTCCATGTCACCCCACTACAAGTCCGCGTTACAAAAGCCGGCGAATCAGGGTAGCGGTTAAAATTGCTGGCTGCGATTCTTTTTTATTTTATATATGCTGGTGTAAAAATCTGCATTCCAGATCACGAAAACATCGACTGCTATAGCAGAATGGCACATTTTATTACCAGCATCCAAGAATTGGTAAAAGTTAAATAAGCAAGCCAGAATTGCCCTTGGTATGCAAGTTGCATGCAAATCTAAGTTTAACCATGATGGTTGTCATGTATAATGCAGGAGTACCAGTCCAACTTTATTTCTGGTACACTGCCTGTCTATGTTGCGTTAGCCCCCTCATTGCTGATTCCTTCACAACCAACATTTTTGACTGAAAAATCAGGAGAAGAGCAAAAGTGACATAAATTGGCATTGCAGAGCTATTATCACCTGATGTTATTCCCCTTCATGAGACACGCCATCAGACTTTAACATCGAACCTTCGGTTCTTTTCCAAGGGAAGAAGGCTGGTCGCTCGTGACTGCTCCAGTGAGTAAACAGGCTTTTCGGTGTCTTGAAAGGCGTTTGGATAATCACAGATCAATTTCTACCTTGTTCGGATCGTCACGCCGACTTACCCTGAACTGTAGGACATTGTTGTCACCGGGTTGG